TCTTCTCTTCTGGACAACTTCACTCCTTAGGGAGGCAAATGGCCTGCTATAAACTCATTCACATCCTTAGTGACAGTGGTGAGAAAACCTTACCCAACCTGCCCACTGTGGGGAACTTGCTTTTCAAAAGATCCTGCTGCTGGTCCAGGGTTTACCTGTCCTATTATGTGCTTGGGATCACAAGACAGACATATGCACCCCTGCTGAGCAGACAGGAGCCTCTGGCAGTGGCTCCCACTTCCTCCCTCACAGCTGCAGGCGGGGAGCTGAGGGGTGGAGCAGGGACATCCAGAGTGGGGTTTTTGTGTGAACTTGTGTCACTGTGTGAGTTTTCGGTGGAAGGACCCAGGTGACCATTATAGGTGAGTCCCTTCTCCTGATTTCCCAGATTTCTCAAAGGTTTAGGAAACTTTCAACTGTGTCTGCTCTGTCTCTGGGTCTCCTTTCAGCCCCTGCTCAGTCTTATCCCAAACCTGGGCCCAGGGGCCCTGGCATCTTCCTTTCTCACTGGAATCTCTGCTTGCCTAAGCCCCGACCTCAGACTAGAGTTTGCACCAGGCTTCCGGTTTGGACAGGAGCATGTTGGGGCCCTAACATTTGTTCTTGTCTGCTTCCTGTGGGCTGCCTTTGGGGTCATTAGGAGCTCTCATCTCTATGGCAAAAGTGGCACTCAGTGTAACCCAAGGAAGCTTTAGAGGGTTGAAGCAAAGGACACACATGGCTGAGTCTCAGGGAAGGTCCTCCAGGTTGTGTGACTCAGGAACCAGGATGGGAATGCTGCAGGCATAGAGGGGCTCCCTGAGTTTCTACAGGGCTGTGGGGAAAGTGCTGAGCTTGCCTAGGAGTTGGGGAACCCTGCAAAGGAAACCAGGAGAAAGGACAAGGCTCTGATTGCCAGTAAGCCAGGTTCTTAAAGAACAGAGTGTTGAGAGTAAAAGAGGATCCTGAATCTTCACAGGACACTGTCCCTCAAACACTTGAATTCCTCAGTAAAAGAAGGGCTGACCCCACACTGTGAGACCACTAATGATTTGGCCAGTTAGCAGGGTGGTTACAGAGGAGGCCAATAAGGAACATTAGTTAGGGTAAACTCAGGCACGGGCAGGGACACTCTCTCCAATCACCAAGGATACTGACTCATTATAGCCCCTAGGAGAGACAGATTTGAGTATAAAGAGATCCCTTAGGGCAAATTCCCAGAGGTCCCAAGAGCAGAACAGTTAAGTCAGAAATGTTGCCAAATCGACTCCAGGAGACTTCAGAGAAGTCATATCACTGAGTCTTGGGTCAGACAGAGAGACAGTGCCTAAGAAAATCCATCAGTATTTAAGAAGCAGACAGGCACAGGAGAGTGAGGGTCAGAAGTGTGTGTAAACAGCCAAGGCCTAGGGGGAGTCTCAGGATAGGTGATGGCAGCTGTCCAAACACAAGGTTTCCCAGGACAGATGAAGTGTTGTTTGAAAAACAGCCCCACTCTGCCTTTCGAGCACTGACCATGGGAACCTGAGTGCTCCTTCAACTAGAGGAACTAACCTGGGATTGGAGACCCTCACAAACCTCAAACACTAGGTCAGGGGCTATGAGCATGGTTGCCTTACCTCAGACCTCCTGCCCCTTCACTACTACTCCACAAGTCAGCCCAAGTCCACCCCCTCGGTCACACTCTTCCCACCATGCCCTAAGGAGCTCAGCACCAACAAGGCCACCTTGGTGTGCCTCATCAGTGACTTCTACCCCAGCGGCTTGATGGTGGTCTGGAAGGCAGACGGCACCGCCATCACCTAGGGTGTGGAGACCGCCAAGCCCTCCAAACAGAGCAACAACAAGCATGCAGCCAGTAGCTACCAGAGCCTGTCACCTGACCAGTGGAAATCTGGCAACAGATTCACCTGTGAGGTCACACATGAAGGGAGCACTGTAGAGAAGAATATGGTCCCCACGAGTGCTCTTAAATCCCTGAGACTGTCAGGGATGGGGGCCTTCCTCATTCAGATACTGCTTTCCCAGCTCACCATGTACCCCTGAAAAACAACCTCTGGATAAGTCTGACCAGGAAGGTCACACACCCTCCCTGTTTCTACATGTGCTCAATAAAGACTTTAGCACTTACCACTGATGTTTCCAATGTGCCTTCTCTATTTGTCATGTCTCTGGGGTAAACCTCAGTAATAAGAGAGGGACACTTATGAAGTTAGAACCTATTTACCTATTTTCTCTGTGTGCTTGTCAGCCATGACCTAAGGAACAAATTGTCCTGTGAGCAATTCAAGGGTTGCAGTCCTTGTCCCCATGGGAATGGAGAAGGGTAAATTGAAAAGGACTGGGGTCCCAGTGGGAATCAGGCAGAAACAAGGAGGGTCCTGAGAACAATGGGACTATATTCAGATTTGCAGGTGGTCAGTGAGGCCCATGGTGACCCTGGCAGTGGCTGGAACCTGAGTCATGAAGTTCTAGACACCGGACACATTAGTGTATGGTTGGATTACAGATGGAGCTGGTTATGTCAGCCTGCATAAAGTAGGGGCACAAGAGAACAGGGTCATTGAAAAAGGGCACCAACCCAAGCACAGAATGGGCTGCCAATGGTTGTTCCAAAGATGGTATCAATTCAAAACCAGAGGCCTGTGGCAAGGCCACATTTTCCCAGGGACTCAGTGACCCCAGGCACCAGGCCCCCAGGACTCCTCCAGCCTCCATCACTATGTACAAAGTGCGGCAGCTTTGCTTCATGGTCACTGTAGGGCCTGAGGCATTCATGTCAGCCTCTCAGAGGTGCAGGTCATGCTCACTTTGCCAGTCCTTCAAGCCTAGGTTTGGCAAATACCCTGTCTAAGCCTCCAACTCATTAAGGACAGGAAGCTGCCTTCACCAGACGTGCTGGGGAGGTGGGGGGGCAGGACTGTCCAGGGACACAGCTTCCAAGGACAATGTGCTCTGAGGCAACAGTAGGTCAGAGAACAGGGGCCCCCAAGGAACTTCTTCCCAACCAACATTCTTCAACATCGGCCTCAACCCATTTCACAGATAGGAAAACTAAGACCCAATAGAAAAAGTGGACCCCTCAGGCCTCCCTCGTCTCAATGGTCCTGCTGAGTAGAATGACACCACTCATCCTACCTCAAGCTGTTGCCACACCCAGACAAACTTTTCTATCAGTAGTTTTAAGTGTTCATTATGAAGATTTGAGTAAACAAAATAAAGACAGAAAAGACAAGGGAAAACACCTATGTTCTTATCAACCAGGTGACAGAGTCTCAAGTAACCCAGTCAGAGTAGAATAACTCTGCTCTTATGTAACATTTTGAAGCTAATCAAGATCATATTTTTTATTCTGTATATAATTCATTTGTTAACAGGATAGACAGGACCTGAGATGTAACTACACCATCAATATCAAATCTAAGCAGAAGCTATCAGTAACTTTTTAAAGTCAAAATAATAGTCTATTTCTCATAAAAAGCTTCCTAGGGAGTCATAAATGAATTTGTGGAGTAATATTTTTTATGCTGTTGTTATTTGATGGTATTTCCTTTTCATTTTGTGAGTATTGAATAAGGTTTGACACTGGGATTGGTGGATGTATCTTTAGGTCTGTTGAATCTGTAAGAATTTCCCAAGTCACTCTACTTTTCCTTGCAAGGAAGGGGCTTCAGAGGCTGAGTGGTTGGTCCTGGGACTCTCCTGCAGTGGGGATGCAGCCATGGCCTCTCAGAATTGTATCTGAGTCATGCTCTCTGCTTCCTCTTCCTACAAAGGGCTTCTGACATCAGATTCTTCAGGAGGTCCAGTTTACACATCATCAGAATCACCTCCCAGGACAATTGGCTACTTTGCATCAAGGGACTCATATCAAGTGGACCTTTTTAGGTAACATTAGGTGCTTTGATGTTCAATGACTCCATCCATCAGATGGGAAGGATGCATCATGGCAATATTTCATTTCTGTCTTCCTTCTCCTGTGAGGGCTACAATGTACCCATGTTGGGAGTGCCTTTCTTATGTAGGGAAAAGAAGAAATGTGCACTGTTCCCTGTTCTTCCCCACTTTACATGATAATGGCTTCCTCCCTCCACCTCCCCCCTGCTGACTCATTCCTATTTGGTGACCTGGTACACTCTGGGATTGAACGGATCAGCTTTGAGGAACACATCTGTGTTGTTCACTATTCATGTCCATGGCTACATGTCTGCCCATATGGACATTAATCCACTGGGAGTCTATTCAGGTGCCTCCTAGGTACACTCACGTGAACCCAGGAGATCTCAACAGCTCCAGCTTTCTGAGGGAAAACATATTCTACTTCATCTTGTGCACACCTGCCCCAGGCCTGAAATTGGTCACTGATACCAGTTTCATTTCGGGAGAGATGGCATTTAAAACTCTTTAAGAGAAGCAGAACTGCAGTCACACACCAGACTCTCCCCAGAATGAGCCCAGCATGGGGTTTGGCTGGGGCTGCTCCCAAAGTCACCTGTACTCAGGCTGGCATGTCTCACAGGACCAGGCCACACATCACTTACAACCATCCCAAACTAGCACATCCAGGAGGATAATAAGACAGAGCCCTCTGAAGTTATGTCTCAAGACACAGGAAGTTGCCAATGGTCCATACACAGTCCAACTGTTTCTCCCTGCAAAGGATTCTTTGTGAAGGAGTGCACACCTCTACCCTCACCTCACGATCTCATCAAGGAATTACAAGTTTGTACATACAGAGAAGAGATGTCCTGTTCATTTCCATGGAAACTAACTCACAATGACACAAAGGCCCTCCACAAACTCACTCCAATCCCCAGAAGATAGCAGTAGAAACAGCAGATCAGATGCCAGCTTCCTTTGGAAGAACTGATTCCAAGGATCCTATTTCCACCCACATGGGGACATTAGTCCTGTTATCTCATATGGGTGTGGGACATGTGGTCCCTCTGTTGAGCAGACACCAGCCTGGAGCAGTGCCCTCACTTCCTCCATCACAGCTGCAGGTGGGGGGGCTAAGGGGTGTGGCAAGGCCTCCCATGGATGGGTTTTTATATCAGCCTGTATCACAGTGTTGGGTGTTCGGCGGAGGCACCCAGCTGACCGTCCTAGGTGAGTCTCATCTTCTCTCTGCTCCCCTGCTATCCCAGACATTTTGGCTTTTTTTTTTTTTTTTTTACTGTTTTTGTTTTTCTCTCTGTGTCTTATATCAGTCTTGGTTACTCTTTCACCTGGCACCTCAGCGCCTAGGACTTTGCTGTCCTCTCCTCCCTGTACAGACTGTCCTGCTTGCTTCTTTGGTGATTGCAACTCCACACCTCCTTCCTGAGGTACAGGGAATGTTGGGATGACCTAAAACCTTGTCTATCTGTCTGTCAGGGTTATCCTGGGTCCCACATGTACTCTTTTCTGTCCTCTCCTGTGTGGCCTTTTGTTGGACCTATTTTGTATCTGGCAGTCACTAAGAGTCTCCATAGAAAAGGGAAGAGAGAACAGGGAGCATTGAGGGAGTGACCATGTGGAGAATTTTCAGGGACACGGCACCCTCAGGGCCAGGCTGAGGACACACAGGTCAGAGGTTCAGGATAGGGCCCTGGAACTGGGGGACTCAGGATATGAGGTGGGCAATGGTGTACCTTACTCCACCATCCCCCAGACCTCATGGCATTGCTAGGCAGAGCCCTGAGCTGCCCTGGAAACTCAAGGAAACCAGCAAGGGGGAGAATGGTGGGGAGAGGAGATGGTGCCAGGGAAAGGGTCATGGAATGAAAGGATGTGAGAACTGGGTGGACTCTTAAAGTCCTTGCAGGAAATACTTAGTACCCAAAAGAGAGGTGGAATCTATGGCATGAAGGCTCTAGTGATATGACTGGTTTGCAGGACATGGGGGGCAAAGCTGCAGAAGACAATAGAGTGAGAGAGACACAGGCCAGGCAGACACTCTATTATCAGCAAGGATCCTACCCCATCAGGGACAGCCCAGGAGAGACACATCTGGGTAAAAACAGACTCCTTGGGCAAAGACTTCACATTCTTAACACAGAAGTGTCAGATCAGAGTGGTACACAGGGTGATTCAACAGGAGTTCAGAGAGCTCACATCATAACCCTGACCACAGATGGACAAACATAGAGTTCAGGAAGACACTATCAACATGTCACTGGAGGCAGGAGCAGGACAGTGAGAGTTCCGTATCTCTGTGGGAGGAAAGGTGCCAGGAGAGTCTCAAGATAGGTGGTGACAGGAATTCACCTCAAAGATTCCCAGCACAGGTGGGGAGATTTTTGAGAAACATCTTAACCCATCCCCCACCAACATAAACCTGTGGACACAGACGGGGCACTAGGGGCCTGATTAAATGTTCAAGAACCTCTTCTCACAAGAAGACTCAGGTCACTTAGTGACCCATGGTGGATACTGAGCCTCTGACCTACTTTCCCTCTCCAACTGCACAGGTCAGCCAAAGTCTGCTCCTTCAATCACCCTCTTCCCACCCTCTCCTGAGGAGCTCAAGGCCAACAAGGCCACCCTGGTGTGCCTCATCAGTGACTTCTACCCCAGTGGCTTGACAGTGGCCTGGAAGGCAGATGGCAACCCTGTCACCCAGGGCGTGGAGACCACCAAGCCCTCCAAACAGAGCAACAACAAGTACGCAGCCAGCAGCTACCTGAGCCTGTCACCTGACCGGTGGAAATCTAGCAGCAGATTCACCTGCCAGGTCACACATGAGGGGAGCACCGTGGAGAAGAATGTGGTCCCTGCAGAGTGCTCTTAGGTCAAGAGGCCCCCACCTACCCCCAAGGGGGTGCGCAGCCATTGGACCTACAGGAAGGATTTCCCTTGCACCAAGATCGTCCCAGCCCTTCTCCCTTTATTCAATCAATGCTCAATAAAATGTCCTATATTCAATCAGAAATAGTGTTCTCTGGTCATTTGGGTTTAACATTTTGTGTCCTGAACTCAACCAACTGTAGAGGGAAACATCATTCTTTTGGCCCCATGAGAAAGGAGCCTGCAGAAGGTGTCCTCATGTTTCTTGAAGGGTAGTTTTAGTCTCAGATGAGATTGTGCGAGTACATTCCTCAACAGGATACACAAACAGTAAAAAAAAAAAAAAGAGAAACCATCCTCCACAATGTCTGCATACATTCCTTCTTGTATGAACCATGTCCATGGCCAGTCATAGTCACCCTCACTGATTGTGGGTCTCCATGACTTCTAATTCCTGAGCTTCACCCTTTACCTGGTGCCACACTGTCTACAACTACCCGACCCCCTCTTATAATGTCCACTCTTTTCTTATAGACTCCCACTCAATGTCATGTTTTCCCCAGTTTCCTACCCCATGTGAACATTTGTCATCATACCAGCCAAGAGCCTCCTCCCTTCTTTATGAGAACCCCTGCTCCTACCTCCCCAGGAACAATGACCTGGTCTCCCTCCCACAAATTCCCTGTCACATTTTCTACAGGGCCTTCTGCCTGTACACTGGTCACTCACACCCAGACTCCCACTGCTGAAACCTCTACACAACAGTCTCTTAGTTCCCTCTTGCATCCAAGATCTCTGGGAGACAGACTAGCTATGGTCTCTAGGTCCCCTCCAAGGCCAGGCCAACCTATGAGCCCACCATTTGTCCTTAGGTGACATGCCTAGGACCTCTATGTTATAAATCAAGACTCAGATTCTGACAATGACCTGCTGACAGATTTCTCAACTGACCCATCTACTTAAGACCTCAATGTGGGATCTGAGCTATAACACACACAAGCACACACACAGGTACCAATGAAAAGAATCAAACATACACCCACATGATGATCACATAGCCATTGGTCCATTTACAAAACTGTCATGGTGGGCATCTCTATGGAAGGCTCAGGACGAGCTGGGTCAAGAGGTATTGTATAGAGTCTCAGGACAGGAAATGACCAAGGGAAACTCAGTCTATGCATAAGAGACCAATTCCAGCCTGTAATAATAGACCAGAGATTCTGGTGAAAGCTGGGATGAGAAAAGCTACCACATGGACTGGTGGGAAGGAGTTAAGAGATGAAGCGAGAGCAAATCATGGAAGACAGCGAGTCCTGGCTTAGCATGCAATGTGTCACAGAAAGAATGCCAGACCTGTGTGTGCCATATGTGAGCTCCATATGTGGCATCCCTAGACCAAGATGCACAACAAGGCCCTGGATGTCAGACACATCACACAGTGAAACTCCAGTGTAGGGATACAATATGTATCCTGTGTGGTGGGGCCAAGCTGTGCTAGTGATACTCCTGTAAATGGGTCATGTGTGATTCTCAGTTAGTTCAAGGGATCAGAACAGAGTCCCACATTTTGGCTCAGGGTGAAATTGTTGGACCCAGTAACTGCCGCCCCACCCATGAGGGAGCCACCAGGTCAATCCGCTTTACATTCAGCCCACACACACCTACAGCATGAGAGCTGCCCTCACAGGGCCCAGGACAGGGACTAAACAGTGACCATGCTATCTTCCAGAAGAACCAGCAAAAATCAGGGACTAAGGAACTCAGGACACTGTAGAAGGATCTAAGTGCTGGGAGGAAACATTATTCCCCTGCCACCACTTCCCGTTCCTGACCCCAAACCTGCACGGTTTCCTGTGCTGATGATGTGGTGGCATATCCAGGAACCTCCCTGCTAATCCCAAGTCTGCAAAGGGCTCCCAGCTCTATCACCTCTGTGCTGAAACAGCCCTGCTCACCCCTTCTACAATGACACCCTGACAAAGACTGAGGAGAGCACCCAGCATCTTCCTAAGGATGGTATTAGCTGGGAATTCTAATGCCATACCTACAGAGGATCCTTCCACCCCCTCCCCATGACTGAGGATGGATGGAATCTGAACCCTCTATGGAACTGAAATTCCAGGTCCCTAGGGGTCACCCCCATCACCCACCCATCTGCCCGACCAGCACCCATGACAAGGAGGCTGGGCTTCGGGTCTCCCATGTAGCAGCAGGTGGGACTGGGTCAGAGGTGGAGGGGCTGACAGAGGGTTTGTGTTCAAGGCTGTATCACAGTGTGCTATTTTTAGTGGAGGAACCCATGTGACCGTCCTTGGTGAGTCTTCCCCCTTTTCCTCTTCTTTCAGATTCAGTGTAATATATCGGGTGATTTTTCTCTGCTTTCTGTTGTAACCTGGGCTTAGGCTGAAGGTCTACAGGGTCTGTAAATTTTGCTCCTTTTGTCTGTCCCTCATTGTCTCCAGTGGTCCCATCTTGTCAGATGACTGGTCAGGACTACAGTGGACCATCCCTGTGAAAGCTTTCTGATCTAGACCTTAACTCAGACCTCACTGTAGCTCCATCTATCTCCCCATGGAAACTTTCTCCTTTAGACTCAGGGATGGTCAGCTCCCCACTCAGGGTCTCTGGGATCCAAGAGTCCAAGGAGAATTGAGGGCAAGTGACTGGGTGTTCAGGCTCCCATAGGCGTCATGGGGTGTGGGAAGGATTCTGAGGATGGCTGCGGCACTGAGTTTCATCCTCAGAGGGGTCCTGGACATAGGACTTCCTGAAGCACATTGAGGAGAGCCTTGTCTGGGAACTTAGAGACATGGAGGAGGAAGTGGGACAAGGGGGTCAGGGATTAAGGGAGGATTTCAGAGGAGAAGGGGATCGTGGGTGATGGGATCTTCCACCTCCACAGGGACAGTCAGGACACCAATATTAGGACATGGTCCTAAGACCTCAGAACACTCAGGCAGCAGAAGGACATCCCTTCACAGCACACCATGGAAGGAAAGAGACTTGAACAGATAGGGACAGGTGACAAGGATAGTGACTGCCAGGCTTCTAGAAATGCTAAGACACTCAGACCTCCCAGAATAAATTCATAGAACAGGGAGACTGCTCAGAGCAGACATAGCCCAGCATCAGAACTGAAAATTCATCTCACGTGAAAATCTTCCATCAGTATGACTCCTTGGAATCCAACTCCAGGGATCCCACTTCTTTTTTTATTTTTTCAACATTTATTTATTTTCAAAAGACAGAGAGAAGCATACAGTAAGTAAAGGAGGGGCAGAGAGAGAAGACACAGAATCCGAAGCAGCTCCAGGCTTTAAGTTGTCAGCACAGCTGAGAGCACAATGCAGGACTCTAACTAAGAACCCTGATATCATGACCTGACTCCAAGTCACTTAACTGACTGAGCCACCAAGGTGCCCCAAAAACTCCCACTGTTTACACACCAAGCATCCTTAGGTGGGGTACCTGTTGGGAGGTGGGCAAGCCTGCAGTGATGGTGTAAGGGGCTCTGGGAACAGGAAACCTACTTTACACAGGGTAACACAGCCCTCCATCCAGGAAAGAGCAGGAGTAGATAGGGTAACTGAGTAAGCAATCTGGGGGATGATGCCAGTGATCAAAACATCCAGGACAGACAGATTCAAAAAGGAAGGCATGTCTCAGGGCTAGTGCCAGCCAGTCCCAGGGGAGGACTGTGTGAATGAGGAGGACCTTTGACTTGGAGAGTGTCTGAGGCCATGGAAGGACCCGCACACTACAGAATCTGGCAGTCAGATTCATTGCAACAGAAGGTGAGTAACCCATTCCATGGCTGACCTGACCTCAGGGAGCTGGGGCCATTTGATGCCCAAGCCATGGACATGACAGAGCTGTTCCCCACATCAGGACTGAGGTAGGAGCTTCAGCCATGGACAACTGGCCTCTGACTTAACACCTCTCCATCGCCCCACAGGTCAGCCCAAGTCAGCACCATCGGTCATGCTGTTTCCACCCTCCCATGAGGAGCTCAATGCCAATAAGGCCACGCTGGTGTGCCTCATCAGTGACTTCTACCCCAGTGGCTTGACAGTGGCCTGGAAGGCAGATGGCAACCCTGTCACCCAGGGCATCGAGACCACCAAGCCCTCCAAACAGAGCAACAACAAGTACGCAGCCAGCAGCTACCTGAGCCTGTCACCTGACCAGTGGAAATCTCGCAGCA